GAATTTATTAATACTACTAATACACATGAATGGTTATCAAAACAATATTTAAATACGTGAGTGATAATTATGTGAATTTTGGACAGATAGCTAGAAGCAAATCGTTAAAAATGAGTGTATTCGTAAGAGACATGCTCTAAACTCAATGTTTTGAGTTGCCATAGACTATTTATACATATTTATACCTGACGGCTGATGATGCATACAAGTTAGTTGCAAGTATGCAGTTTATCATAAGGCGGAATACGATTTAATTGAGATATAGTGGTTATAAGTTATTGAAATCAGTTAAGCCTATGTGTCATATTACGAAGTGATGTGGTGCTGCAAGATGTATTTAGCTAAATATGTTTTTACCAGATGATTAATAGTGAGTGATGCTCATGTGATTATCAGGGAGAACATAAGTTGTAACCAAGGGGAGTACACTCCCAACTCACGTCTATGATAATGGCTTGAACCTTAGTCAGTGTTGGGGTAAATTCGACATTGATGTTTTCAGTTTGCAGGAGATTTGCTCGACTGCTTATACTGATTATTTGCATGCATGATTGTGTCGCTAAACCTCCAATTAGACTGACAAGGTTTTGAGATATTTACTGAATGAGCAACTGATAGAGAAACATACTGTAATCATCTGTGATGGATGAAGATACCAAGAAAACAACACCATTTAATGGTAATTATAAGTCAATTTGTTGACCGATTTCGTTAATAGTTTCATTAATTTTATCAGTCATATTACGTGATTGTCAAGTTATGACAATGCTTTATGACGATATCCTGAAACTATTAAATTTAACTAGTTATAGTGTTGATTAAGGATTAGTCAGTGCAAAAATAGGTATTGTTGCTTTAGGTGATTCAAAATCATCAGATATTTACAACGTTAAAGAATCCGAGACGCCTAATTTAATTATAAATTTCAATTCAGAAGCATTCGTTTAGTGTTCATTCTAGTAGGCTACGGAGTTTTGATTTTAAACGTTTGTTTAGCCAACAGCTACTTGGGGATTTAGTTATTTCACTAGTGCAGTTGACAGTACCTAAATTTTTAATCTTATTATCTAAACTATGTTCGCATTTTAGGCTGCTAATATGATAAACCAATCCATAAACCCAAATACGATTAGCAACAACGACTATGATGGGTTTATCGATAAATGTTATAGGCGATTCAGATGATTTCTAAATTCAAAAGATATGAAGATATAGTGTAATGTATGTACGGGCCATGTTAACATGCAGGTTGTTGACGTATATAAAAATTTAAAAATAATGAACATGACCAGGAAAAGTAATTTTAAAGTCAAGACTGCTTATGAAACTTGAGGCAGGAATGTAACGCGTTATAAACATTCCATGAGAAGTTACGACATTTAGCCTAGGGACACTTACAAATAAGTGGCAAAAGCAACTGAAAAACATATACATGTTAAGTACAAAAAAAAATCATCCAGTAAAATAGTTGAACTCGCCTGGATTATTTTTGAAAATTGGATTATTCAGTGGACGACATATATAACGCCATTCGTGAGGAGTAGTAATGATCCAAAAGCATCCAGAATAAAACATACAGTATGGCAATCACTTCCAGGGTGCTTGATGCTGTTGAGGTCTTTGGGACTCGCTCTGATCAGAACAATCGAAAGAATCCAGATAATTGTGTGTGTGCCATCTAAAATGAACTTATGATTGCAGAAAACTTATAGCTGGAACTCACCGTATGTTTTTGGAGTAGTCATCCTCGTTGTTTGGCAATGGAACTCGAGAATATGAAATTAGGCAGGCAGTGGTCAGAAGAAAAGATATTACAGGATAGTGTATAGTTTAAAACAGGATGAGGTAATAAGATAAGGAACACTGAATATTAGATCCAGATAACTATTAAGTCCTTGATCGCATTGTTAGTCAATGTATATTTACGCTATTTACAGGTCATATTTGCTAGAGCTTGATGTTTAAACAAGACTATGTCGCTGAAGCATGTAAATGCTATTACAGCTTGTTAACAAATCATCAAAGCTAATTAGTTAATATAGACGACCAGTTTTTATTATCGATTGAGCTAGTTTGTCATGAGGACTAATCAATATAACATTACGATAATGCATGTGAGCATTAATCAGAGGACTATTAGAATACAGTGTTAACATAAATATAAAATCGATCGAGAAAGTTGAAGTGGAAATAAGGATTAATAATAATAGGTTGCGTTTTTCTAGTCGGGCTTACCAATGTAGAATTATGGTCTACTATGATATTAGTACTGCTCTAATAATAGACCTAATCCTAAATTTGTAGATTCGTCATGATATAACTGCCTAATCTTTAAGATCTTACGTGGAAGTCACACCATCGACTACGCCAACTCACTGTATCGTATCAATTACCAATACATGATGAAGAACCAGCTTAGTTTAGAGAAGGAACAATATATTTAATATGAATAGAGACCACGCCTGCATGGCCGAGCCATGCCACTCGATCAACTCCAGACCATTCAATTCATTGTTCGCGCCTTCTTCATTCTTAGGTATTTCTCGGCGTTAAATATTGAATATTTATTTTCTGAGTAGTCTCGTGTTCACAGCTTTGTGGATTGTGTGGCTATTGTCCAATGCCACTACAATTCCATCACTTCTCTTAGATAGCCTCTTGATATACGAGAACAATCTTTTCGGTCTATTTTCATAATCACGAAATAAGTGTTTTTCGCATAAATGTCTGGCCTTACCAACGCCTTGCAAGCATTCCTTGTCTTACAAAAATGGACCTATAATGTTTAGAATCTGTAGAGATAAACATAATCCAACGCTTTTTCTTACGTCTAAGAAGTTTTATGACCTGTTTGGTTATCAGTGGCGAAAAGTTATTTGCTATACATAATACTAATCACTATATAGACGGGAACGTGGATAGGTCAGTCATACCTTAAAATATTGACCATGTTTCTCTAATTGACGAGCTAGTATTTACTGACCGATTTGTTATTGTACTTCACACTTGGGTGGCCAATTTTTTTCCATACATTTGGGCGAGCTTTGACGTCATTGTATATTGTGTCAGAAGCCCTAAACACGAATGATAAAACAGCATATGTTAATGGTGGGAAAATATTTAGATTAACGATATCCTCGGTTTCATAGGTGGTTACTAAGTATAACAGAAATCTTTGGTTTGAGAAAAGACGTGTAGGTTTAAATGCATGTTGTATTAAGGTATGCCAAGTTACCATTATCAGAAGCCTACTATCGAAAGAGTTCTCAGATCTTACAGTGTCCATCTCTGCCCAACTAATATCAGGTACATTGAAATCTCCTAATATCACTTATCGGTTATTTTTATTTCATAGCTGAATGTTCTCTTTAAAAAAGTCACCAGCTAGGCAGGTGACACCAAGTGCAAAGTCACGACCATCGAAAGTAAATTCTCAGCTGGTTACATCATAAATTACACCATGAGATTCACGAACAAATGAACGGATGTTTATAGTATCAGTAATGTATGTATGGACCTCACCCCCACTATTTTATCCATTCCTATCACTTATTAGGGAATCGTTACCGAAAATTCTGGAGTGACGTCAAAGACATAGACCAACCAAACCTAGGTCACAGCGACGATAAATGGCTTTAATTTGTACAGAAGTACATCCGGTTCATTGAATTTTCCTCTTAGACCACTTGAATTTGCATATAGGACAAATGAAGAGAACGACCTATCCGTACATGCCATACGGATTCCGTTTCCAAGACCTGACTAAACTGAAACCCACTGAGCGAACATTTTCTCCACCATTTTTTGACGCCTTGTTTGTTCAGCTAACACCGTCTTCCTCTTTATTCTGTCTTACGGAGACATGTTAGTTCTTATTCGAATGTCGGTACTGTTGTGATTTCATTGTTCCTCGGACCATAGGCTTAACCTAAGCAGTCTCTTACCTATTCTTGACAATTTTTTGATCTAAAATCTCGTACAGTTATCTGGTTAGGTGCTACTAATAAATGACCCAACCTTTTCTTAATCATGTACGTGTCTCGTTTTTGGGATCAGGATCGTTTCACTCTAGTAAGTTATTATTTCGATTAGATCAAGCTCTTTTCAGCCACGCTAATAAGTCCAGTCTCGCTTTTAGAATTTTGCGTTATATTATGTGACTTAGTATGAGGGCCTGTCAAAGGCTTTTCAAACAAATGGACTATAATGTGACTTTTTCTCGTCTTCTTTGTCTCCACACTTGTCTCGAGACAGGCACATCGGGACTACTTGAGCCGTTTTTATTCGGATCTTCAAGTACTACATCAAAATCTTGACCACCAACACTCATTGATATTTCACTCTTTGTTTCACAAGAAATTTCTCTTTCTTATGTTTCGCAGTTGGACGTTTGGCTCATCTTGTAACAACGCGTACTATACTGATACGTTCTTCATAGTCATTGCTCATGTAACCTGTGCAGCCACCATCAAATTTCTCACTGGTGAGCACCTGAAGGCTCACCACCCCATGGATCAGTAGCGTCTTACTCAGACAGCAGGACCTCCAAAGCCAATGAGAGTTAGCTCTCGCGCATCGTTTATGTGGAGTGAGACTTAAACACTTCATGGAACCCTCTAGAACGGAGAAACAAGTTTGCTGTCCACATTTCGGAGTACAAATGACTTCAGTAAACACATTTCAAGTGCAAAGATTCGACAAAATAGCAAGGTAATCACTATAGTGAAAAAAGAGTGCCACAAAACGGATAAAAAGAAAATGTCAACCCTTAACCTGAACAAATCAAGTTAAGGCGGACGAAGTATGCCTTTGATGCAGTGAATACACAAAACTAAAAAAACACATAATTGAATCAACTATTCGGTTTTAAAACGTGCGATAAATAGTTGTAACATTTATCTAGAAATGCAAATAACAATAAAGTGGGATACTGAGAAATTCCATAGACTACTTCAAATCAAGTCCTTAGAATCTCCTCTTCTCAACTACATTGAAGTCACATGATGAACATTGGACTTCACGCGGTTTATGCAGAATTTTGCCGCGAGATGGAGAGTTTTTGTCCGGAATGCTTGCGTTCCGGCTTTTCAGTACCTTTATTGAAAGTTAAGTCATCTGCTGGTTCAATAAATGGAATCTGCTCCTCAAACAAGTGTTCATACCCATTTTCAGTGTACTCTGATCTGCAGTTATCACGTAAGGTAAAGTTATTGGTTTACACTTGTTAGTTTGTAGAGGTGTAGATGACCGTGCATCAGAAGAATCTCAAACGGTCCGTGGTTTTCTTGATGAACTGTTTGGTATGGATGTCAAAAATGGAGATGATGGAAGTTCGTTCAAAGGTGTTGACTCCTCTCACCTGTATAGTGATTGTGTGCCTACTAGTTCATCTGGTAGTTTCGATTTGATTCAACAAGATGTTTGCGACAGTTCTCCGGTTGACAATCTCTTCCAAAACAATTATATGCTTCCAAGATACTTAGCAGATGACATGAAAAGAAGTAAGTGCGTATGTTTGTTTTCACGGAGTAAATGTTGACAAGCTTGTTAAGTTTTTCGTAGTCATTCTTTCAAAGATTCTTAACGTATGTAAGCACCTTATTATCCCAAATAGCAGAAGTCCTATGCGCCTTTGATGTTGTCTTAAGCTTTTCACAATTACTCAACAGATCAGATAAATAAACAGATTTTCAAAACGTTCACACAAAGTAGTTTTAAGCTTTTTGCTTATATACCAACGACAATTTACTCGGAAACTTTTTCTTAACTAGTGAGTAATGACAAGACGAAGTTAGTAAAGTTGTACTGTTCAAATAGTTAACTAGAGATTTCAACCCACTTGATTACTAGTCTTTCGGTCATTTCACAGCCCTTAGTTCATTACTTAGATTAATTTAACGGCCATTGTCGTATCGTCACGCGCTAATAGAAATGTTGGTGAGATTGTAATTTATAGGTGACCTTTGAGCGACGCTAGACTAATCTTGAGAGTGTCCGCTTACTTACTAGGGTTAAATAAGGGTTATAAAGCAGTTTGAAGAATAAGGATTATGATTTACAGTTGATGGTTAGGGTTAGGAATTAGATTTAGAGTTTTCATCACGAACTGACATCAGTTATAATGCCAAAACTCTATTTATCCAAATAAATGAGTGAATTTCACGCCAAAATCCAAGATCTGTTATCGTGAATCTGATTGGTTCGTTCGTAAATTATAGTCTCGCCGAAAGATTTCACCTATCCAAGTGATATGATGATTTTCTATATGCTTTCATACAATTTTGCCTGAACACCGATTACCACGACGTACAATGCTGACTAGTGTTGGGGATGGTTTGAAGAAAGTTAGGGGTGGCCAAATCAAAACGTGGCATCAGTCCTTGAATTCACTAACTTCTAGTCTTAGCCGTGTTGGTAGGTGCAGACTACTTGGTTAAGGTCCGCGTGACTATCGTAACCAATGGTCGGAGACTGGGGGAAATGACTCAGAATCGACCATAATGCCGTCGGTATATACACTCTCTGTCTTCCCCTGAACTATGAGATTAAAATTGATTTATATCTTTCATTCTACGAACTAATTCTTTCTTCCTGTACTATATCCTTATATGCAATCTTTCTTTTATATATTACTACTATTGAAGTAACTACTATGAATTAGGTGTTCATCTTGTGCTAATGTGGTATGGCAACTTGAACTGATGCATATATGTGCCTAGTCCTACATTGTAGCTGACTGAGTTCCTAATACATATTTCTCCCAGATCTTTACTTAACACTGATTGTAGTTGTGGCCATTAATGCACTAATTAAAAGCTCTTTTCGATGTAAGGTGTCAACCAATAATGACTTGATACAGCACTAGGAAGTCCTTTTACTTAGAGATTTCCTGTAATTTATCCCCAGAATATATTAATAAATTATTATTGTTTGTTAAATAATTAGAATTCAAACCCACTGCCTTCCGTATACATTTGTTTTCAAGGGATGCGCTTTGTTTTACCTGTAAAATGTGCATGATATAATTTAATTACTACATTGTAATCACTCATAACCTTTTTATTTTATATCTTCCAGTTATAAGTGAAGATTTATCCTATTCAAAACGTCCACAGTTCCAAACTACGAGCAATCCCCACATGTCTGAAAAGTTCAATCGGAGTAGTGACAGCGGAATTTCAATCTCTTCGCGGTCTTCTAAACCATCTACTCTTAGCTACAGCGAACATGTCGCCCAGCGGATGTCAAACCAAAGCGATGCTATTTCAACCTCTAAATCAGTTTCTATATCTTCTTTCCCACTCGACAAAACAAAGAATATGGCCCATTTTGATCGGTTGGTTAAACTTCAAGAAGAACGAATGCAGCTCCACTAATGTGTATATTCATCCCACCCTCAAAGATGCTTCGAACTTCTTTTATTTAAACCCACAAATCAGTTTGTCGATACAAACCTTTATGTACAGGCTGTTTGACTTTTTTCCAAAGTCATCCAAATAAATTATGCCTCTCTTCGAGACTTTTCAGTATGCCTGGATTTCTCACGTACTTTACTTGTGGATCTTATTAGTGCTAAAAACCCTACATTTTTCTTTCAACAACCCGTTATCATTATCAGTACTTTGACATAGTCATCTGCTGATGAGCGAAGTGTAAGAATAATATTTCAGAGGTCCATTTCCACAGCACTACGAATAAACGACCTATATACGATATAATCGTTTTCCTTCAATACACACCATTGTACTATGTTTAAGACAGTATATTTGAATAATGCTGTTCTATGGATCATCTTTCTGTTGACGGTTAGCGTTTTTGCATTTTTAAATCATCGTTAAGTAGACCAAAACCTGACTGGTAGTATTTACGAACGATCGAAAAGTAATTTACGTGAGCAATGCAACTAGCATAAAGAATGATTAGTGTTCCACTGGTATATGTGTGTATGAATTGAATGACGGATCATCTAATTTTATCCTTCTAAATGTATAGAGCTATGTTTCTTAAAATCATTTCCCATCAGGATAGTGAAAGTGTCAAAAGCCGCTTCTCTTGGTAATGTAGGCTTAGTGATGTGTATACCGTTCTATTATTTACAGGGAAGATTACATTCATTAGCAACGGGGAGTAGATGGATATCAAGATTGCTTCCTGGGATTTCCAACTAAGCAATTTTGTTCTTTCCAGTTATATTGGGTGCACTCTGAAAAAACTGGTCATCATAAACGTCCACAATCGTGTTCGTTTTTGATAGAATTATTAGATAAGAATATATTGAGGCTACTATTTTGGAAACTAGAAATATAAACTTGTTGCACAAGTACTCTTTACTAGTGCTTTTTCAGTTACCATGGTACTAATGATATTGGAATTAGCCTTAACAATATATATTTATGTATATGGTTTAGCTTTCAACCACTGAATTTGGGTCTCGATTGGTCTACCTATCACCAGTCATGATACAGCAAATATGACTACTAGCTTATACTACTGGAGGGGGTCCGAATTCCGGGTTCCAATCCCACTCTACCTTTTTCAGTTTGACCAGATGAGTAGTATCACTAGCTCTCACATTTAGTGTGGTTTATATCCAGGTACTTACTGAATGTGTTAATTAAACTATAAGTTTTTTGTAGAGAACTCTGAAGGCAGTCTCCAACATTTTAGAGTGGTGATAGTAACAAAATAATTCTTCTGAAAAATAACCTTCCAAGTGTCTTTAGGTTTCATTTTTGGTGTTACAGTATTCCGAGTAATTACTATAGACTGGTATTTGTACATTAAAATCGATATTGTACAGTAAGGACATCTGTAATCAAATATCATTATTTGTATGTTTTCGTAAGTAAAAAACATGAAACCTTGTAAGGTAGTACATCGGGACCAAGTAAGTCTTCTAATTGATTTCCTAAAGTTGAGACATTAATCCTAACAGACCCTTACATTATCACTTGGTAGGTATACCTCTAAATCTCTATTATTTAGTAGTATTTTTTTGAAGGTATAAACCACATGATCTAAATCAAAACCAGTAGTGTCTGATCCCTGTTTGTTTGTATTATTTGTGACAACGATATCAGTTCTTTCGTAACTAAGAGTACTTTTTTTACAAAATAGTAGTTCAGTACTCACTGAAATGCAATCTATCGCGCAACGCATACATCGGTGTTGGAGAAAATATGAGATCTTCAAAGCTGGCGTGTACATAACAATTGGTGCAACGTTTACCCATTTTATTCTAAAATCGGAAGTTCCAAAAATTTCATTCTCACAGCCTGTAAATGCAGCTGAAATAATTTACCCTTCTCTTGTCGGCGCCCCAAACCTCCCAATAAACAATGAAGCTTTTCATACTTTGGGAATGCCATCATCAAGTCATCTTCGTGTTTTTGACGGCTATATATGTGTTTATGATCGTCGCAACAGAATTCCATATTGGGTAATGGAGCATTTAAACCCTGCTAAACTACATCAAGTTGATATTGATAAGGCTGGAGTAGATCGGTATGTTTTTATTTCATAAACACATAGAATGACATTTTAGACCAAGATTATCTTATTTAGTATATTTACTGGGACCTTTATCAGATTGCTTTGAGCCAACTTGTTTACCTAGATGTTAAGGAAGGAGCATAACACAATTTAGTTTAACGAACTTTTTTATCAACTCTTAACTAACTTCACATACTTTACTTAAAGACGTATGATATTGTAGTAAATATCTTAAACCACAACACAATATAACAAGGTATTTAAAGACGAATCGCAAGAGTTTTTGATATATATTGTGGTTGATAGACATCCCAAAGTCAGAATTACCAGCTTAAAAGTTGATTGAGGTGCAAATTGAGCTGATTAGAAGAGTAGCCGATCAAGTTCAAGTAATCGTGAAAGGAAACAGACCAGAGTATTGAACTAAGCAATAATCCAAAGTCAATTAAAATAGAAAATAAATCCTAGTTAACGGTCAGATGTTACTGGGATTTAGACCAAATTCGTAGGATTACAATATGGAAATCACTAACGACCACCTACTGGATTGTTTTAGATTTAAATTTTACTCATTCATTCTCAGAATCATGTCGATCAAATATTTAAAGATTTTATTTTGTAAAGACGAAATCAGTTATTCAAAGGGCTCGTATAGCATATTCACAAAAGTCAATATTTGGACGAAAAATTGTCTTCAACAATCACATCTTAAGGCCCTCTAGTTACAAATTTGTATTACAATAGCCTATAAATTAGCACGTGGTGATATTACTATTACTTAGAATTAGAACAGACTGATCCCCTCAACTAGTAGATAAAGTTACATTTCCTGTTAATGAATTTCATGAGAAGGGTCATATTATTAACTGTAAGTAGACCATGAACTATTCACATAATCAGAGGTTTATTGAAGAAGATGGCTAAAGAAAGCACCAAGATAAATGAAATTGAAAAATCTGAAAACAACCATTCAGCAGGATGATCATTAGAATGAGCTGATTTAACACTTTTGGGACCGGTAACAAACTTACTCTTACATAAAGTAAGTACTCATGATGTCCAGAACAATGAAAGCTTCATAATTATACTGTTCAGCTCAGAAAATTTAACCCCACTAAAAGCTATGAGGTTCGCAAACCTTGAGCTTCTGTCATTTTATTAATCTGGCATACTTGTGAGCTTTCAACACTCAAGATCGGATACTATTGAATATCATTTTCGTCACTTGGCAAAACCTTAATTGCTTATACTTGTTATTGTGATCCATATTACGGTAAAATAATTGAATTAATAAATTGCTTGAATGGCTGAACTGATGATTACCCTACCAAACCGACCCCTTGAACACTAACAGAATAGTTATTAGAAGTAAGAATCACTGACCAATAGATTATGTTTATGAGTTAAGACTGCTGTTTAGACACCAAACATATTAAACCAAGATAGTATGGCTTTTCGCTTAACAGATGGTTAATCGAGGATAAAATGTATTACAACGCGACGAATAACTATCAACTTTCCTGTCATATCATGTCTTTACGAACTCTTTCCAAAAGATCCTTTATAGTATTATATTTCATAAAGAGGCATTTTCGGGTAAATTTTTCCAAAATACGAAAGGGCAATATGTCTTGAAACACATTTTAGGGATCTTGAATAATCAGTAATTTAAACTATCCCAACTGTCGCATTTTGTATTAAATAATAGCAAAATAGGTTAATACATACTTGATGTAGGAAGGACTATGCAACTTTTTACGAATCCAACGTTTCAAAGAGATACAGAAGTCCATCAGTTTGGATATCCGATAATACTCACTTTCTCGGAAGCCAGTAGATCAAAACAAGCTGACTAGAATTGTCTATATACTTTCTAAAATTCCCAAGTGTATACAAGTTCACTTGACATAACTATGGGAGAAAGTTATTGGGAGTTCAAATTACATAGTGCTTAATGTGAGCTTGATCTCATACTTCAAAGCTTTCGAAATGTTATTTTCAATGAAGCGTAAATCCAGTTCAAGTTTGAGAATTTCTCGTATTTTCGAGTTTGAGTAAAGAGATATCAAGTGTCAGTTTAAGTCATTTTTAGCGTTTGAACATTATGTAAGTTTTTATCTACCAGCTTGAACAAAAAGTAAAAAGTCTAATTGTTTTTGTCAAATTAGTACCTCATCGGGAAACAAGGAAACTGCTTCAAAGCGAAACTCCTGACTAGACCAAAGTTAGCTCAATATATTATACACAAAATTTGGCGTCCATTAAAGACGATTATAAATGTTACAAAACTATTCAAGAAAGAAGAACACCTACCTATTTTCCTAGGTGATAACCTCCGTAAGAGGATAATAACGCTTACATTAAGAGAACTAACTCTGTTTCTTTAAACTGTTACATTTGTTTGAAAAATTAACAGTAAGGATTTCGATTTCTATGAAGATCTTGGTGAAATTGAAATGTTCCGTTCTACTAACAAGGATTATTTGAACTCTGGATATGATCGTGGTCATCTGGCCGCTGCAGGAAATCATCGCCTCAGCCATTCAGCTATGGGACAAACTTTTATATTGAGCAATATTGCACCTCAAGTAGGTATCGATATTGGAGCTTAGTTTCTTTTTTCGAGAATTATAAAAAAATATTAATCTATTAGCCATCTACACATTACAGAAAGAGTCTATGTCGCAAGCTAAACTTACGTGCTCCATGGAAAGTTCCCAAAAGCTTGTAGAGGTCGGCGCCATGTCAAGCTCATATAGGTCATCCTAGCTTCTGGACAGATCAATTTATTCATTTTTGTCGAACTACATTCCGACCTTGTCAATTATTCACTTGTTAACCCTGACTTTTTATGCGATCGTATGTGTGTTAATTGCTCACCCTACTCATCACATGTCTATAACTTATTTTTATCTAAATATAAATATTGAGTCACGAGTTGGCCCACCTGTTTTCTGCGCTGCCCTCCACTTTGTTTCGCTCCGCTTCCTTCACTTCATTTCTCTAATTGTCTGTCTGGACCAATGAGTGTACGAAATATAAGTAGTTGAGATTCATTCTCGTATTTGACGTATTCCGTTATTCTCTAACGCTAATTAGGTCGATAAAAATATACGACGTTTAGCGGCATGTATATTTTAATAGCATTCATCATAAGATCTAACTGAAGTCAGACAAAGGGCCATTAAAAGCTGTTTTTTAAAAGTATAAATGAGAAATATACAAAACTTAAAAGTGAATAAGTAATTCTCTCAAAGATACAAGTAATCACGAAACGGTAATCATTTATCATCTTTAGGTGATTGTCAATCATTGATTTATTAATTTCATTGTTTACATACTTATTGAGAGGATTGATGATAAACGATCGTCTTCTGATACTCTTGGTATCGTTGAGTTTATTTTATGTTTCCAGTAGTATACGACCAAGCTTTCTAATAGATGATGTTTGTTTACGTGTGTATTGTTTCACCTTTAATCTAGGTTGGGTATGGTTTCAATCGGCATGGTTGGAATAGCCTAGAGAAGTATATACGTGCGGTTGCAAGAAAGTCACACAATATGGTTGTTATTACAGGACCATTGTTTCTACCCCAGTAAGTAATCTAATTACATTTTGATGTCTGATTACTCAATTTGCTTTTGGTAATAAGAATAATAGATTGTTCATGTATATATATTGATCTTAATTAAATTATTTATTTATTTATTTGAACACATAAATATTGGTACAAGAGAGCGCCAATATATATGCGCCACACAAAACAGTGGGAATTCGAAGAGAAGTAGAAAGAAAAAAAAAGAAAAAAAAAAACTAAGGAACGCAAAAGAAAGAGAGAGTAATGACGAAGAGGTACAATCAGAAGAAATCTTTCAGTTAAGGAAGATACAACCACTTTTTATGAAGAAAGTAAAAGAAGGTTACAGCAGGATCGCCACTGGCTTCTATTCTGAGCCATATCTGATAACGTCTCTAGCCACTGTGTAGCACCATCTCTCGGACCCCAGCCAGGGAGTCGTGAAGGACCAACACAAGCCAGTCCTTTGCAGCTTTCTTTCATGCCACGACACCATGTCATGCACTGACCACCTCTCCGCTTCTTCCAACCAGTCCCAGAGTCGGCAAATAATGCACGACGTGGAATTCTCTGGGACGACATTCGGAGAACATGTCCAAGCCACCGAAGTCGGTGTTTCAAGATGGTGACACCAATTGAGTTATCATCTCTGTGCCCGAACACACGATGCCGAACCTCTGCATTACTGACTTGGTGTTGCCACTGAATGTCAGCAATCCTTCGGAGACAGCGATGATCGAACACAGAGAGTCGTCTAACGTCCTCAACTCGGAGAGGCCAGGTTTCACAAGCATAGAGCAAAACTGCTCTCACCGACGCGTTGTAGATCCGGCCTTTTACAGCCAGACTAACATCACGAAGGCGCCAAAGGTGGCCCAGATTGGCATAAGCCGCTCTGGCTTTCACTATTCGTGCATTGATCTCATCACTCACACCCCCACCAGCACTTATGCAGCTACCCAGATACACGAACTTCTCGACTACGTCTATCTGCTCACCATCCAGGGTGAGTACAGGATTGGAATCCTGCCAGTCTTGTAGAAGTACTTTGCACTTCGAAGGTGCAAAGCACATACCATACCTACGGACATTGATTGCCAACTGATTAAGTGCGGATTGCATGCCTTGGGCATTATCGCACAGTAAGACAATATCGTCCGCATACTCAAGGTCGAGAAGTCTTTCTCCAGGCAACAGATCCACACCACCATTACTTACATTCATCAGAGCTGTTTCCAGAATGTCATCGATGGCAAAGTTGAAGAGGAATGGTGAGATTGGGCAACCCTGCCTAACCCTACTGCTCGAATGGAACAATGGAGAGAGGTGGTTGTATGCCCTCACTCTGCCTGAGGTGTTTTTATACAGGGCTTTTAGGATGTTAATAAACTTCTCAGGCACACCCTTCTTCAATAGACAATCCCAGAGAACAGTCCTATCCAACGAATCGAAGGCAGCCCTGATGTCAAGAAACACTACGATTGTTGGCCTTTGAAAAGTATGGCGGTGTTCTAACATTTGGCGGAGGGTGAAGATATGATCAATACATCCTCGACCAGAACGAAACCCAGCCTGCTCCTCGCGAGTCAATCTTTCTCGGGTTTTGAACAACCTACGAAGAATGACGGAAGCCAATAGCTTGGACGCAATCGGAAGTAAACTTATCCCCCGATAGTTGTTACAAGAACGACGTGAACCCTTTTTAAAGATAGGGACAACTATCGACTCATTCCATGACGTTGGTACACTCTCTAGTTCCCAAACCTTTGTAAACAACGTCGTCAATTCCTTAGTCAAAAAGTCACCACCATCTTTAAAAAGAGCCGGAGGTAAGTCATCTGGGCCAGGTGATTTGTAACGCTTCAAGAGTTGGAGTTCCTTGCGGACTTCCTCCTCATTTGGTGGATCAGTCGTCACCGGCCATGGAGGGCAGGACAGTCTGACCGATGTTGCCGGAGCAGCAGGCCAGTTGAACTGCCCTTCGAAAAATTCTGCCCATCGTCCAAGACGTCGATGGATGTTAGTGATTGGCATTCCATCACTCTCGCAGATTGTTTCACTCACACCAGACTTCTTGGTGCCAGTGGCTCGGATGAGTTGGAAGAGCTTCCGGTAGTTACCAGATGCAGCTGCTGCTTCCAGCTCATTAGCACGCATCGACCACCAGGCTTCTCGGTCCTTACGCAAGCTTTGCCCGATTTCCTTACGTAAAATCCTTCGTTTATGGTCAAACTCACGGTTACCCGGAGTAGACCGACGGGCTTCAATGAGTTGTAAGGAACCAGAAGAAACCCAGTGCTTAAAAGCGGGACGTTTCGCAAACCCACAACTGACTGTTCCCGCCATTTTCATGGCGTCATGCAATTGCAACCAATGCTCATCTACACTTTTCGGTGGAGTGGTAGCTAGCCTAGAAGCTAGCTCGGTTCGATACTTATTTGCAACAGAAGTTGCAGCCAGCTTGCTAACATCAATCCGTTGATGGCGTTCACTTCGTTGTCCACTGAAAAGTAAGGCAAGATTGGCGCAGACCAAGGCATGGTCAGAGTCCAGATAGGTACTCCAAAAGGAGCGGCAGTCTTGTACACAACCACGCCAGCGGTAGCTGATCGCGATGTGATCAATCTGAGTCCAGGCTTGAGATGCAGAGGGAGGACGCCAGGTGGCACATCGGCGATGACTGTGCCGAAAGTTAGTGCTAGCCAGAAACAGGTTGTGGTCTGTGCAAAGTTGCAGTAGACGGTCCCCGTTATCTGACCTGCGACCAACGAGTCCCCATCGGCCACCTAAACGACTCTCTTCTGTGCCTAGACGCCCGACCTGAGCATTCAAGTCTCCGGCTAGTACTACAATATCTGTCGAACGCACTTTCTGGAGAAGAACTGATAACTGGTGGTAAAACTCATCCTTGATTGCATCCGGGCTGCAATCTGTCGGGGCATAGGCGGAGATGACGAAAAGACATCGTTTCTCACGCCGATTTCTTCTCACTTTGATGGAACTTTCTAATCTAACAGCACATAACCGACTGTTAATGGGGATCCAATCGACTAGTGCTGCCTCAGCTCTAGCGCTTAGTGCGACACCAACGCCAGCAAGACCAGACGAAGATGCCACAGGGTCCCCGGATAAGCGCACGTAAAACAAGCTTTTCGAAGCGACAGATGGAGATCGAATTTGTAGTACTTCGCCAGAGTCTTGAATACGGGTCTCGGATAGACAACACACGTCGATATTAAGACTTTCCAAAGACATAGCCAGCCCTATCTGTTGTCCGACCTGCATAAATGTGCGAACGTTGAAGGCAGCCAGTTTGAATGGTGCACGTGGTTTCAGAAAATCTGCTTCAGTCCTCGTATTCGGTGGTAACATACAATTTTCAACCGGACAGTGACTCGAGAACGTTTAGATACAGTCGGAATTCCACCAAAGACGAGCCGCTGTATAAGTATAAAAGAAGGTGAATAATGTGGAAAATAATAATAATAATAATAATAATAATAATAACCATAATGACAATAATAGTAGTAATAATAATATTAGTATTAATAATGACAATAATTGTAGTGATCATAATTTGAATCAATTGATTGTTTTTCAAAGCGACAAAGGTAATTTCCATGGACATAGAGTTCATCATTTGTGTGTGGGCTGTGATACTGCCCGGGTGCCCAAACCGAAGCAGGTGGTTATCTTAGGGGGCCACTCCCCGAGCCTTTGACCTAAAGGTCTAACCCACAAGGCAGTGGAGCATCGTAAGGAGATGCAGTCCCATGGTAGCCGGTGACCAACGATTGGTTCATACGCCATTCGTTCCCGCAGGATACTGGAGCCCATGTGCACCATTGATTTGGAATCCGGTTAAAGCGCCGGACATTCGCTTTTCGTCCTCTCATTTTCGTAAACAACACCCCCGCCACGAGAAGGCAATGAGTAGGACTTCCCTGGCAGAGGCTGTATACGCGTGGCCGTGTGAGAGTATTTCGAGAGGGAGAGCGGACCCTGACAAAACTCATCGATTTTATTCAATCTCAGATTGTAGAATATTAATTATTTTTTGTGCTGACATCAACCGATCTTGAGATTGCTGAATACAAAAGAACAAGCTGTATAACTAACCATTTCGATTGAATCAATTCATAATTCAAGTCACCGAACAGTAGTTGTTTACGTTTAGGAATCTAAGGTTGCTTTGGCTAAATAATGTAAAAATTCATAGATATTGACTTTTTATTGAAATTTAATGTCTGTAACTAAGCACAAGTTCATGTATTCGACATTGAGCCACACCTTTCATGTGGTAAGAAAAAATAATGCACCCTGACTGCTCAAACTGAAGTAGTTTCTGAAGGTGAGTCTAGTCATTCCATCAGTTAAATTAACTTTGAGTGCTATTAAAATGATAAAATTATACTATACTGGCAACCTTGAACAACTCCGAAAATAACTTAGTTATTGACCAATCAGAGTGTAGCTGATAAAATTATGTACTTTATTACAAAAAAAAGAGAAATTCATGCCGCTTACCTGATCAGTATGCCTACTAAGGCTCACAATAAGTTCAAGAGTCCTTATCTCGAGCATTAATCGTTTGTCAATATAGCAGTTTTATTATACCCATCAATTCATCATTTCACATGTGCCATACTAAACATAATTTTCTATTTTGTCTGTGCAATGTATATCTCTGAACGCTTTGTTAATTAAAACTATTTTTCAATACTATTTCAGAAATGTAAATGGCAAGAAAATTGTGACTTATGAAGTAATTGGTAACAATAATATTGCAGTTCCAACTCATTTCTTTAAAGTGGCAGCTATTCAAAATAAACCAAATGGAGAATGGCATCAAGTAGCTTGGGTAATGCCCAATATTCGTTTACCTGAACAAATTAAAGTGGATGGTTTTAGAGTTCCTGTTGAAAGTGTTGAAAGTGCTTCAGGCTGGAAATTTTTCCCTAAACTTAAATCTTAGCAAAACTATTGAAAGTTTGTACTTATATACTTCACATTTATACCTTTTAGTTGGTATTTATAATTTTCCTTTTCCTTAAGATATTTCATATGGAATTATATTTTCTTACTCAAATATCTTTTTATTTTTTTAATTGAAATAATCTGGGACATTAAGTTATTTTATTACTCAGGATTAATAATTGAGGTTTGTGACTGATTGATCAAATCGACAGTAAGAAAGCCATACAATATGGCTATACTGAGAATCATTCATATATTCTATTCATTGAACAGAGATTTCCTTATACTCTTGTAAGCCAGAGTTGGTCATGAAGGAGAAATATCTTCGACCCCACTAGTAGAAATCAAGAATTCTCTTGCGTGAAATTCCATAGGAATTGCAATGGTTCAATTTTAAAAATGGTAAGTAACAAATAGACTATATAAACTGTTTTAAGAGATCTAGCTACCAAAAAAAGAAAGTATGTGAGTCTTATTCAAAGAAGAGATAACCCTATTCAAATTACCATAAGCATTAATACAAAGAAACGAAACAAATATTTGGTACAAACAAACAAGATTAGTATTGTTAGTATATACCACTTAGATTTGTGTTAATTTAGAAAGGATTGTCTATCGTCTGGTAAAAAGATGTACATACATATATTTATGTTCATTTTTTGAAACAGTTTATTCTTTGACCTTGATAATGTATCATGAGACTGATAATTTGTTACTTTTGTGGTGTTATTTTTTGTTAGAAAACACCTTAAATGTTAAAACTTTGTATTTTGTAAGAAGCTGACAATTTACTAATATATAGACGTTCTGTCGATCATATTTGACATGATTAAGTAAATATGTAGAGTATTATAAACTTATTACGTACAATTTGCAGGACGAATTAGAGCTTCTGGATTAATTTAACAAACTGTCTTTATGCTACTTACAAGTAGCGTAAATAGATTGGTTAAGTAATCAGTAAGACAATTTCAGGTCATTGATATGTTTCTTCTTCAATTGCGTAAATGCAAGTTTATATACCACTGGTAATAAGCTCCTTAAAATGCCTCTCCTAACAAACATTTCATTTGAAAATATAATGTATATAGAAATGGTGCTGATTTATCTAACATAGATGAAAGAGATTAGGTCTTCATCAAATATGTGCAGTTTCTTTATCTACTCTAATGTCAGTGTATTTAACACTCATTTAAAGGGTATTCTACCTTACAAAGAGATAAACGGGTAATAAAATTCTAAGAACATTATATCGCTAAAGGAATTTATTTATGATTAATTATAATAACCAAATCATAATATTTACCGATAAAATGAGCTTATTTCCCAATTTATCCTACCTGACATGACGCAATATTTCGGTATCTACTTTGATTCTGTTAAAGTATTATCAAACTAATTAATGTTCATGACCTACGAAACATATTTATAGTGAAATGTGGTTTAAGTTTGTTTTTTCTAATGAGGTCTCTGTCAGTTGGATCAGAAGAATGTAATAAGATACTAGTTTTAGATGGACATACTGTACAAATATAGAACCCTGAATTAAGTAATTAAAATCGATTGAATGAAACTTTCACTTACACATAATACTTAGATATAACTGATTCCTGCAAACATACCCTTAGTTTCTAGATAAAACAATGGAAAATATGAAATAGAAGAAGAAAACCTTTAAAAGTATTTTTTTTCATTTCAAAGATTTCTGAAGTTCATGAGAATGTAGACTATTATTAGTTTTCACTTAACAAATGCTATCTCAATCCAAATAGTTCTACTTTGTATTTCATCAAAACAAAATGAAATTATTTATTTCTTAAATTTCTATGACTTTAAAATGTTTTTAACATTTATAATTTAACTAAATCATATTTATTGACGAATGTTTAAAAGTCAATGTTCGATAGAAAACAATAAAATGTTCAAAATTTTGATTTCATGATAAATACTTCTTCGTCAGTTAAGCTTATCCATAATCTTATAGAAGCTAATACTTACTTATGCCTGTTACACCTCGTTGAGGAGTATAGGTCGCCCATCAGCACTCTTCATCCAACCCTGTCCTGTGCAATCCTTTCCAGCTCCTTCCAGTTGTTATTCATCCTTTTCATATCTGCTTCTATTTCCCGACGTATGTGTTCTTTGGCCTTCCTCTTTTCCGCCTTCCTTCAGGATTCCAAGTTAGGGCTTGTCTCGTGATGCAGTTTGACGATTTGCGTAATGTATGCCCTATCCATTTCTCTCGTCTTTTCCTAATTTCCTATTCAGCTGGAAGCTAGCTTGTTCTCTCCCACAGTAGGCTGTTGCTGATGGTATCCGGGCAATGGATGTTGAGTATCTTGCGTAGACAACCATTTATAGATAATTGCACCTTCTTGATGCTGGTTGTTGTTCTCCAAGTTTCAGTTCCGTACAGTAGAACTGCCTTGACGTTCGTATTGAGGATTCTGACTTTGATATTGGTTGAAAGTTGTTTTGAGTTCCATATGTTCTTCAATTGTAGGAATGCGACCCTTGCTTTTCCAATTTTCGCCTTTACGTCTGCATCTGAACCTCCTTGTTCATCGATCATATTACTAACCAATATTATAATCTTCACTCTGCTTACTGTTAAATTTAAGGTATTTAAAAATGTTAAGGTGAGGGTGCCTATTTTCCATAACAATAATGGGAAAGTGTTATATAACCACCAAAGAATAGACTATTCTTTCATTATTATTATAGTCAATCTGAAAGGAGGAAGAGCGGCTAGTTCAGATGGATTGGCTCCAGAGGTCTTTAAGGACGGTGGTCCAATTTTAGTGATTAGGTTGAATAATATTTTAGCTAAGATCTGGGAGTTGGACGTAATCCCAACTAACTGGTCGCAATCACTGATTGTCCCGATATATAAGAAGGGGTCAAAATCATCAATGTGATAACCATAGAGGGATTAATTTGACTAACATAGCATCTAAAATACTAGCCTCAATAATTATCGGATTCCTAACTAAGACTCGTGAACTGCAAACACGGGAAAATCAGGCTGGCTTCAGACCTGGTCGTGGCTGCACCGACCATATATTCGTCATTCGTCAGGTTCTAGAACACAGGCATACTTATCGGCGTCCGACAATAATGGTCTTTTTTGAATTAAAGGCAGTATTTGACTCTGTAAACCGCGATATTCTGTGGCAGTGTCTGTTATTGAAAGGTGTACCTCAGAAGTACATAAACCTTGTGAAGGCTCTTTACTCGAACGCTACTAATCGAGTCAGAGCTTATGGTGAACTGTCATCTGATTTGGCAACCTCAAGTGGTGTCCGTCAAGGCTGTCCACTTTCTCCATTTTTGTTTAGCTTCATCATAGACCTACTACTGAAAATAGCCCTCTCATCGACGGAATTTCTGGGGATCGATCTACCAGATGACATAGTCCTGTTTGGTGAGAACGCTAATAAAATTCAGAATCTATTGGTAGCACTAAGCAACAATGCCAGAATGTTTGAAATGTGCTTCTCTCCCTTTAAATGCAAGTTGTCGCTTCAGGACTGGTCTGCATCAACACCTGAACTAAGGATAGGGGCTGAAGTAGTCGAACGCGTTATCTCGGAAGTCTAATCAGCCTTAATGGGTTGGTGTCTGATGAAATCTCAGCACGGATTCAGAAAGCTCGTTTGGCTTTTGCTAGCTTGTGTCACCTATGGCGAACGCAAGATATCTGCCTATCAATTAACGGACGTGTTCTGTTCTACTTTACGGCTGCGTAAAGGTGGCCGTTAAGAGTAAAAGATATTCGTGAGCTACTAGTATTTGATCACAGATGCCTTAAAAATATTGCTCGCATCTGCTGGGATCACCGAGTAAGTATTAGTGAGGTTCGACGCAGGGTATTAGGGAATGATGGTAAATCAGTTGGTGAGGTAGTGAATCTTCATCAACTGAGATGATTAGGTCATGTGTTACATATGCCTGAACACCGATTACCACGACGTACAATGCTGAGTAGTGTTGTAGACGGTCAGAAGAAAGTTAGGAGAAACCAAACCAAAACGTGACATCATTCCTTGAATTCACTAACTTCTAGTCTAAGTCATGTTGGTAGGTGCAGACTACTTGGTTGGGGTCCGCGTGACTATCGTAACCAATGATCGGAGACTGGGTGAAATGACTCAGAATCGATCATAATGCCGTCGGTATATACACTCTCTGTCTTCCCCTAAACTATGAGATTAAAATTGATTTATATCTTTCTTTCTTCCTGTACTATAACTAATATGTAATCTTTCTTTTATATATTACCACCACCGAATTAACTACTTCTATGAATTAGGTGTTCATCTTGTTGTGCTAATGTGGTGTGGCAACTTGGACTGATGCATATATGTGCCTAGTCCTACATTGTAGCTGACTGACTGGTTATTATTAAAGAACATCTTTGGAACTCATTTCTTCAACTTAATATATTCTCTTAAATTAAGTAATTTTAATATTAACTCATTATACAAATTCTTGATAAATTAATCAAGTTTACAATAAAACATCAACTTGAAATTTAAAAATACCACATTTTGATTTAATATTCAGTAATACATTTTCAATCAAGAGTGGTGGAATTTCAGAAGTGAAAAAAAAATTACACATTTTGCAACTGGCATATTTCGAAAAAAAATCTCCACGATTTCCTCCAGATTAATGTTGTTATGTGTTCGGTTCATGAAAACATTTTTTTCCCATTAAAATATCCCATCATGGATTAAAGTGAGTTAGAAAACTATTAAAACACAAAAGAGAAATATAAATTGCTACTTCGTTGTAGTACCAAAGTCTTCAGTAGTTTATTTCGTGAACAGTAAATGGGACCGAGCGTAGAATTTTCACATCCTGCAATGTATATATTACTAGTGTTGATTGAACTAATCCCATCTTACCTTGTATATAAACACTAAAATAGTTTACCTATTATAACCTTTAAGATTTTTTATTTTGATATACATGTAACATGTTAGAAATAGCACG